ATACGGCGTGGAACGAGTTAACCAACTCAAAAGACGCAAAGACGGAAATATCCAGCTTCTTCCCCTATTCCTCATTACTCTCAAACGTAACGAGAAAAATAAAGATATACATCAGGAGCGTTTCCTCCTTGGAATGAAGATTACCATCGAAAGCTACAAAGGTAGAGAGGGACCTTTGCAGTGTTATCGCTGACAAGGATTCCATCATGCCCAAACAAATTGTTACCATGAACCTAAATGTGTAAAGTGCAGCGGTGACCATAACTCATTCGAATGCACAAAGGATAAATCCACTCCACCGACTTGCGTCAACTGTTCTAAAGAAGGACACACGGCAAACAACCGTGGGTGTGAGAAGTTTCCTAAACCAAGGACTACTCAACCTTTTAAAACTTTAGCAGACAGATTTGTGACCAACAAGTCGTTCGCCCAAGCCTTAAACTCCGGACTTGCACCAGAATCGATCAACGAGGCGAAACAAGTTCTCAAACGAACTTAAAATGTTTGTGGCTCTTATAAAAGACTCTGGGCTGCCTCTATTATGTAAACAACTTGTAAATCAAAATTCTTCCAAATCTCATGACAGTGTTAAAGAGTAACCTGTTAATGGATAGATTTCTTCCAACACTTACTCCAATTTCTTGCACAGTGTGGAATGCCAAAGGCCTACACAACCGTATGCATGAACTCTGTAATTTTCTTCAATTTCATGACATCGATATAGGAATAATCACTGAGACACATGCCCAGGCATGCCAGCGTCTCGCTATTCCTAATTATCAGCTATACAGATGCGATCGAACTACCCCCCGCGGCGGTGGAGGGCCAATATATGTTAAACGATCCTACCAGTCTTGTTTCATCAAAGAATTTAAAGACAACAGCAGTGAAGCGCTCACAGTGTCAGTCACCCTCCCTTCTTATGGTAATATACATTTTTGTGGATATTATAATCCCCCAACAGCAGACTGAGTGATACGATTTTGAATAATCTTCTCCCCAGTGATACTCCAGCTATTCTGGCGGGGACTTAAACGCGAAACATTCTGCCTGAATTGTCGTCGCAGCAATGCGAACGGTTTAAAATTCTGCATGACTACATCCTCAGTCATCCAGTGGTTATCCACGCACCTAATGAATATACATACCGACCTGACCAAATCGAGAAATCGGACATTTTGGATATTTTTCTATCTACAATGACTATGCCGATGCTTCTCACGGTAACGCATGAGATGACATCTAATCACCTTCCTGTTATAGCAACGTTAGGCGTTTCAAAAATGAACTGTGTAAATACTAGGACTGTAACTGATTGGCGTTTATTTGAAAATTTGCTGCAAAATAGAATTGTGCATTTTAGTGATTTAAGTACTGTGACCGGAATTGACTCTGCCATTAATTCGCTCACCTCGCATATTAAAACAGCCTGTGAGGAAGCCAGCGATAAAATTCCCATTAGCGACAATTTACATCGCTTGCCTAAAAACATCAGAGACATGATGAGACAGCGTAACAGGCTTAGGAAGTCATATCACGTGACTTGGGATCCGTCTACCAAACGAGAATACAACAGGATTAATAAAAGAATTAGCAAGGCCATCAAACTTTATAAAGAAGAATTATGGACAGAAAAAATGCTCAATTTAAACGTAAAAGATGGTTTATTCTGGACTTTGATTAAAAATTTGAAGAAAACCTTCTTCACGAACTATCCTCTTCATTATAATAACTCTGTAACCACATCTAATCAGGAAAAAGCTGATATGTTTGCATCCCATCTCCAAACTCAATTTATGCCTAATGATTGGCCAGTGAATCCTGATTTTGAAAAGGGTACACTAAGTTAAAGTTTCGAGACTGGCTCAACGCACCAACAGCCAAAAATATTTGTAAATGAAACTACTCCTGCTGAAGTTTCTGATATTATAAGAAAATTAGATCCAAAGAAAGCACCAGGAATTGACTGTATCACTAACATTACCTTAAAACATCTCCCGAATAACATCATCACCAAAGTTACTAGTATTTTCAATGCTTGCATTTCAAACTCTTACTACCCCAACCCCTGGAAAGTTGCAAAGATCATCATGATACCCAAACCGGGGAAAAATCAACTTCAACCTCCTGAGCCTAAGCAAAGTCTTTGAAAGAATTCTACTGGAAAAAATGAAGTCATCTCACCTTACTGCCCCCTGAACAATTTGGGTTCAGAGCTCACCTTTCAACTTCCAAACAACTAGTAAGATTGACTGAGTTTATAGGCTCAGCTCATCACTGTAACCAAAATATTGCTATCCTCATGCTGGATGTGGCGAAAGCTTTCGACCGCATCTGGCACGAGGGTCTCATAGCGAAACTTATTGATTTCAACTTTGAACATGAGCTCCTGCTAATTATTTTCTATTTTATCACCAGCAGAAAATTCATAGTTTCTGTTCACGGTGCCTTCTCTTCAGAACGTCCAATTCAGAGTGGAATTCCTCAAGGGAGTGTTTTAGGTCCAATTGTCTATCTCTTCTATGCTGCAGACTTCCCTTCTGTACTTTATAACAATAACTGAATTTTAGCTAGCAAACGACATTGCTTTGGCGGTGAAATCTGCAAATGTTAATCATGCAGTTAAAAAACTGGTAAAATCCTAGTATACAGTGCAGCCTTGGCGCGACTTTGAAAATTATCGCCAACACCAAAAATGATCCAAAGAAAGTCTGTATATATATATATACTATACACTATATGCTATGTGTGTATATACATAGTATATATACTATATACCTAGTATATACTATGTTTAACTATATATTTTTTGAATGACCCGTTAACTACTCATCGTATATGTCCCGTTTTTACTGATCATAAAGTCGCTAAAAGTAGCCAAATCCCGTGTGCACCGGATACTAGGATTAAACCAAAAAACTCCAAGACCACATCCCTTTTATAGATGACTGGTGCAAAAAGTAGATATTGTTTTTCAACTATTTATTCTGCATTTCATTTTATATTTTTCTTGTATTCTCTATATGTTACTTTTTGATGAATACTTCAACACCAATCAGATGTCATCTCAGAGCTAACGTGACTTTATTCACACCCCTTTCTACATCTCAGATTCCTGCACTGGCCAGCTCAAGCAATTCCTTACCTGCAAGTAGCTTGATTTAGATGCTATTCTTAGTAGCATCTAAATCAAGACAGCCGGAACACAGCATGTAATTACTGCGTGCTAATTGCGGCTTAAAGAGGAACTTGGAATGTATGCTTAATATCGTGTATTTTTTACTAAATTATGTTGTCAATGCTGATGAGTAAAAAAAAGCAACGTCACCATAAGGTTCTCTGCAATAGTTAGCACATGAAAAGTTATCTTGGCTTTAATGATATAACAAAATTTAACGCCAATTTTCAATTTTGTCCAATATGTCTTTTAGATTTAATTTACAAAAATATCAGGTAAAATGCATTAAATGTGAGTAAAAGTAAACTAATATGTATGAATTTTAAAAATTATTGGTTCAACATTATTTTATTTATGCTTCATGTATTAAATATAAACAAAAAATTCATTATCAAGGTACAGTCAAAAGTCGTTAATCCGGACTCGTCGATTCCGGATTATCGATTTTTTCCGAATTATAGATCATCAGGTTAAATCTGGTAAGATGGCATACAGAAATTATAAAATTAAAAATATGAAACCGTAATTTATGAAATAAAGAACAATTATGATCTAAAGGGGGTATTAAAATTTACAAAAAAAAAAAGGTTAATATTTATTTGTTTACTTTATTAAACATTCTTTCAATGCAAGTTGCTTCGTTTTTTATGTGATAATACTTTCTCTTTAATTCTATAAACAGATATAATTTCTTGTTCAGTTACAAAGTTCCGCTGTTGAAGTCCTATAATTGCTGTGTCGAGAATACCAACTAATTTGTCAATCGAAATTTTTTCGTTTTCAATAACCTCTGTGTCACTTTCTTCGCTATTGAAAGCGAATTATAATGACGAAGAATTTTGTTTAAATCATATCAAATACGGAGTACATGGAGATGAAATACTACATTTAGCAAGGAATTATAAACCAAATAAAATGAAAACATCTGCCCTGAAGATAAGGATAGTGCTGACAGATCAACTTCCAGTTCACTGCGGCGCCGTGACGTTCCCCCATCCCCCCCACACACAGAGCAGCGTGAAATTGATAAACAGATTTCGGAATGGTTAGGTAAACAAAAGGATATGCCTTTATTTATTTTTTGCAGCAATTCCACTTTTGTTTAATGGACTTCTAAACATACTTTTGCTTTGTAGATCCTTTACATATTACTAAATATATATCAGAAATTCTATTTGACATAATCGAAAGTTCAAGCTTACTTTTATAAAATTGCTCTAACAGTCTACAAAAAATAAGCCAGATCCAAATCGAAGATTAAGGAACAACACGATCTGCAACATTAACTGAATTAGATAATTTTAGCTTAGCTTATACCATCCATTATACATTAAACGCACATTCGTAAACGTATTTTGCGCATGCGCACACACATATTCGCAGCCGTATAGGTCTTACGCGCATGCGTCAATGAGAGGCAGTTTTGCAACTTTGAGTTTGTAACTTTGAGGTCCGGGTTATAGATCCTTCTGGATTATGGATATCCGAATTAACGACTTTTGACTGTATTTGCAAAACTTATCCCTGAATCCATATTTCATATATATGTTAATTAGCATTTGTTTTCGGTCTCGATAACTTTTTCAAATAAAATGAAGGGACAATACATCTGCTGAAATCTTTATATTAAGATAACATTAGACTTAAATATATATCTTGATGATTTTAATGTTTTTCCACCTATGTAAGTATTTAGAGTGTAATTTATTAGAAAGCATTTACATTAAGCCTTAGAAAGGATTAAAAAAATGAAGATTTGTTAAATAAAATAAAAAACATAGAACAGTTTTGAGTAAATAGGTAACACATATAGATTTCTTACCTGCATTAAAATTTATTTTTTCAATGACTCATTCTTCCGAATGTCTTTTTACATACTTTATATACATGGGGTTGCTCTACTTGGCATGTCACAAATTTCACTGAAAATATTTTAGATCTCATTTTTCACAATATGAGAAAATTGTATTATATTTCCAATATAGCATCAGGCAACCCTTTTGTGAATGTTATGCACTGCAGCATGGATATGCTACTGTAGCTAGGTAATCATGGTCTTCAGGATATACATAAAAGTACCTAATACACTATTTCATCACCTGCCCAATCCATCCCACTTAAATCAATAAACAGAAAGCTGTGATAGGTATCTGCATTAAACTCAAAAAGCAAATTTAACTCAAAGTATGCATAAGTTACAGTACACATATGGGTGAGGCATTCAGCCTTGCTTCACGATTTCATTATTAGAAGCATTTTAAAGTGGTAACAAGCATATAATCACCATAATGCACTTTACTAGGTGAAAAATATAAAGAAAGAACATCTATGAGTTCAAAAATCTACTGAAATCTATATTCACACAGCTGTAATAAAGCCAAAAATCAAAAAGCTCTAGTTTTACTTGGAATAGTAAATGGGGCTTCAAATGAGTAGTTCCTTAAAATGACTTTGGATTTATTTTGCACATACGAAGTTTTTCCTCTTGTGAAAACAAATAGGTGGTTTATTGCTTATACGAAATTATAAGTTCTATACCTCACACAGGGTCAGTTGTCAGCTTTGTACCAACCAGTATAGCACATCGCAAAACCTAAATTCTGACACTAACCACCACTGAAATCTTAATGAATGTTACCGATCCTAAAATCTGCATTTGGAGCCTGCCTGGCAAGAATGAACCAAATTTGATTTCACATGATGAGGCTTCATTTCTGCATGGACAATTCCTTCCTGCGCTAGTAATTAAAGACTGCTACTAATTTAATATGTCAAAACACACAAAACCTCTTCAATGTAGAAAAATTGGTTTCTATAAATCTATCCATATGAGTCATGAGATTTCTCTCCTCTACGGTTATATATATTCAAATCACCTTTTAGAATAAATAACTTTTTTACATAAATGGTTTCTCTGAAATACGAGTATGAATATGCTTATTTAAATTATTCCTGCTTATAAATCACTTGTTAGATGTAACTTCTGCCCTGCACATAAGCATAAAGTACTGCAAAGTATCTTTTTGACTAAATAACTTCTTACATACTTCACACCTATGAAGTTTCTCTTAAATCTGTGATAGCTTATCCCGTAATTTCTATTTGCAAAAAAACATAGCAAAATTTGCCCATCCTACAATAAAGGCAGGCATTAATTTTTTGTCTAGAAAAAAGCATATCAGACTGTTTCAATGTTTAGACATTAGTAATATATTTTGCGCAGCGTTTAGACTTTAAACTGCAATTTTGGTTCCAACAGATGGGATTGATTGTCCACAAATTTCTAATATTTGCATAAAATTTCCAAATTGCTATGTAGATTTAAACCATGCAATAAATATGCTTAACACTACATGAATTTTTAGATACTTGACACACCTAAAGTTTCTCTCCTGTCTGAATAATCATATGCCTGTTTAACTTATTCTTACGAATTAATATTTCACACACATAAGGTTTCTCTCCTGTGTGAAGCAGCATATGGTTGTTTAAATTACACTTTCAACTAAATGACTTGTTACACACACACATAAGGTTTCTCTTATGTATGAATAAGCATATGCCTATTTAAATTTTGCTTAACATTAAATGATTTCCTACATATTTCACATGCACAAAGTCTCTCCTCTGTGTGAATAAGCATATACTTGTTTAAACATCACTTTTGATTAAATGACTTCTTACATACTACAAATATATAAGGTTTCTCTCCTGTGTGAATAAGCATACACCTGTTTAAATGTTGCTTAACATTAAATGATTTCTTACATACTTCAGACACATAAGGTGTTTCTCCTGTGTGAATAGGCCTATGGTTGTTTAAATTATACTTTTGACTAAATGACTTGTTACACACTTCACAAACATAAGGTTTCTCTCCTGTGTGAATAAGCATATGGTTATGGTTGTTTAAACTATGCTTTGTTACATACTTCACATGCACAAGATTTCTCTCCTGTGTGAATACGCATATGGTTGTTTAAACTACACTTTCGACTAAATGGCTTCTTACATGCTTCCAAAAAATAGTTTCTCTTCTGTGTGAAAAAGCATATGCCTGTTTAAAGTTTTTTTTTTAATACTAAATGATTTCTTACATACTTCATAAATTTTTCTCGCCTGTGTGAATGAGCATATGTTTATTTAAATGAGACTTTTGACTAAATGACTTCTTACACACTTCACACTCATAAGGTTTCTCTCCTGTGTGAATAAGCATATGCCTGTTTAAATGTTGCTTAACATTAAATGATTTCTCACATTCTTTACAAACATAAGGTTTCTCTCCTGTGTGAGTGCGCATATGGTCGTTTAAATGACACTTTAGACTAAATGACTTCTTACATACTTCACAAACATAAGATTTCTCTCCTGTGTGAATGAGCATATGGTTGTTTAAAGTAGACTTTTGATTAAATGACTTGTTACACACTTCACACGCATAAGATCTCTCCCCTGTGTGAATAAGCATATGCTTGATTAAACTATGCTTAAGTCTAAATGGCTTCTTACATACTTCACACACAAAAGGTTTCTCTCCTGTGTGAATGAGTATATGGTTGTTTAAACGACACGCTTTACTAAATGACTTCTTACACATTTCACACACATAATGCTGCTCTCCTGCGTGAATAAGCATACGTTTGTTTAAACTACACTGTTCAGTAAGCATTTTCTTACATACGTCACACAAGGCTTCTCTTTTGTATGGAAAATTGTACGCTTGTTTACAACGGAGTCTCACCTGAATAACGGATTGAATACCTCGTGAGTTTTTTTTCCTGTATGTATGCCGCGCTATGTATTTCGAGATGATGCGCTATGTTCGACACCTTCAAGAAGTAATCGTTTTCCTAATAAACTTAAAATAAAACAGTTTTACATCTAATATTCCAAAGCGTCATATTTACTTTAAAAATTCTTACAGCTACAACAAGATACGACCAAGATCAGACGATTGCCACTATTATAGTCAAGGTTCTTTAATATACTAAGGTTAGGCCAGGAACGGAAAAAGCGTGCCATTGGTTGCTGGTAGTGACGTCACCCGGGAGACAAGACGCATCGGCCGACGCGTCTGCTACATGATTTTGGTAATGGAAAAAATGTAAACTAAAGCAAAATGATCATTTTATATGTGGTAGATACACCGGAAATACCGGGTATATACTTTCCGATTAAGTATTTTGTTAAAGAAAATGTTTATTTTATGCACAGAATTCGTACGAATGCTGAAAATAATTGTAAACATTAAATTCTTTTCGTAAAGGAAAGCATTAGAAAATGAAAAACGATATTTAAGTTAATTAAGGGAAATAAATATTGTAAAACAAGGTATTTTTCATATATTTTTCGTAGTATTGTTTGCACTAAATAAATCTTGTTGAACAGAACACATGATGGCATAACTGCTAAGACCATGGTAAAAACATAATCAAAAAGTATTATTCTATTTATTTTCATTGCTCATGCACTTTTTTTAATACAAATGAACTTTGACATTCCATGAGAAATATATGATCGTGATTTTCAGTTTAAATTACATATCTCAAGCAAAAATATATATAAAAAGATTTGACTTAACAAATTCATATTTAAATACCATAAAATTCTACAAATTTCTTAATATCCGTCATTATACTTTTAAATAGTATACTTATCACATTCTTTTTAAAGTGAAAAGTCACTTCATACTGATTCACTTCAGATTTTAGCAGAAGTGCGTATATTTTCAGTATAATCTAAAAGTACTCTTATAATCCCTTACACTCCCAAGATTTCTATATAACATTTATCCTGACGTGATTATTTGCTATAGTAAATAATCTTCGATATTGGCATCCTATTCTTCCTTCCATACATTAAAAATGGAACAATTAAAATACATTTTCTTACACATATACGCACAATAATAATAATAATAAACTTGCCCTACATCTTAGTTTCGGCCCACCAGCGGCCGAGCGGTAAAGTCGCTGAACACTGGTAGTTCGGTTCGAATCCCGCGAACGGGCTGGCTGCATGGGTGTTTTCGTGGTTTTCCTCATGCGTAACGTGTATACGAGCCAGTTTCCCTGAGAAAGTCCTCCACGAAGGCATCACACCTATTACGCAGATAGCCCTAGTGTGCTTTGCCATAATTAAATACACCACCACATCTTAATTTCAATTCAGCCTGTACACAAATTAAATATTTTTAATTACTAATGTATTTTTTTATCAGGTTGTTTCTTAAAATACTTTTGTTATACTCGAAATATGTGTTCAATATTGAATTATTTTTCTTTCTCTTATAATTAAAAACAAGTTATATGGAATCAAAATTAAAACATATGCAGCAGTTAAATAACACTGAACAGAATATCTTACTTACTCTTTCGCTATTTGTATTCTAGCATTATACACAGATTTGTTTTCCTTCAGGTTCAAGCATGTGTAAGTTATATCAATTAAATTACATCACACATACCTGTATGCATCAGTTAAATAACACTGAAGGAAATATGTCACTCACTCATTCGATGTTTGCATCATAGTGTGGTCGAGAAATTGTTCTTTCCTCACGGTGAGGCATGTATCAGTTTACTTAGTTCGCAAAGCTTAACCCAGACGCTGCTTCAATACATAGAATTACGTTTGGGATGTAAAGAAAGTAACCAAAACATGTGAATGAAGTTGGATACGCGAATTTATTAACTAATCATTCAGGTACTCAGTATTGGTAAACATGACACTGAGTTTAAATATCTCACACTACGATGTAAGTCTCATACACAAAATGAAGATTATGATAAAAAATGATTTAAAATGAGAAATTTTTCAATTTAAATGTAAAATAGCAGTAAAATGAAAAATAAATGTAAAATTACATCACAGTTATGTATGAAAACTACATAAATTCATTAAAAAAATAGTTATTTTATCTGGTTGTAAAGAGTGTTTTCCGCCAAAAAACGTATTAACGTGTATAATTCTGACACAACGCTATAGCACAATTTGCCACTTCCGCCTAGGTATAATAGCAAATTAACAACACAAATCAAATCAAACTGTTGATGCAACGAAAGTAAACAAACGCCAAGAACTAACGCTGTCACCCACATGACGTCATGCGTATGTGGCATAACTTTCTCCCTGCACTGCGCATCGCTCTTGGGCCCCCCCCTTTATGGGGACCGCAGTTTACCAGGTTCAATTTTAGATTGGACTCAAACTTCTGAGGGAGCATTCAGAGAAGATTGTCCGAATATTGGCTCACTCAATGATGGGCTGTTGGAATACGAATGATACATTTGCTAACATACCCGTGTGCCACATTTTTCATTGATAATTTCGAATTTTTTTTGGTTAACTCATCGGCCAAACTCTTGTTTACATTATGTGTTTTAGTTGAAATATTGTTTAGTTGTTGATATTTAAGAAAATGAACAATTTTTGATAGCGTGAAGCGTTATTTTGTATTTACTTTTCACATTTAGATTTTAGTTCATATTATGTTTTGTAATTTGAAAATTTAGATTATTATTGATTTTTTTCTTGAGCGTGCCATAGGGAGATTTTATGATTTGAAATATTTATCTACTGCACTTAGGTATTGTTTAAATAAGAATATGTAGGTTAATATAAGTTCTTTACTTCCTTGTACGAAATAAAAAGGAAGTAAGTATTGTAATCGAGAAAATTTTTGGGTATCATATTTCACGGAAATATCCTTTTTGACGATTACAGAATCCATGTGAATTATTTTTTTGGATGACGTCTGTACGTACAAACACATTTTTTTTTTTCCCCCAGAAATGGATTGTTAAATGTAATCCCATTTACTATAAGCTGATACTTATGACTAATGATTATGACTCTAAGTTGATACTTGAAAGGGATTTTTTCGTGATGTGTAAGTACGTATATATGCATTTCGCATAACTCAAAAAAAATTAGTTCTAGAACGTTGAAATTTTGTATATGGGCCCGTTATAACATCTAGATGTGCACCTCCCTTTTTATTGCAATCGGTAATACTACAAAACGTAAATATGTATATTTTAAAGAAATTATAATTAAATGTAGAGTACATATATATATATAATATAATGTTGTATGAAATCCTTATAATTAAATGTAAAGTACACACACATATATATAAATATAAAATAAAAGCCAAGTAAGGCGAAAATAAAAGCCTTGGTTTTTATGTTATTTATTTATCACTAAGTAAGTTACTTGACTTTATTATTTTACCAGAGTATAGATAGAAATTTGGTTATGTAGCCTATTCTTCTAAAACGACGTTTCGTCGCTGCCTCTCTCCCACCAATTCCCTTTTTTTTTTCCGTTTCGGATTATTCGGTTACGGCAAAGCATACTAGGGCTATTGCCTAAGGGGAGGAATGCCTTCGTATAGGACCCTTTTATAGGAAACTGGCTCATACGCAAGTTACACATGGGGAAACCCACGAAAACGCCCGTGCAGCCAACCATTAGCCGGGAACTGAACCCCGGACAAAACTATTAGTGTTCAGCGACTTTACCGCTCGAGCGCTGGGGGGGCTCCTTTTTCATTTCATTCGCTGTTTGAAAAACAGATGTTCACTTTACGATAAAGCAAGCACCTGTTTACTTCATTTAAAATGGGTTAGACGATATGACTCTTACTACTACTTTAATTTCACTTAGCTTTTGATTTCTAATATTGTTCAATATTTTCTGTAGACAAAGTATTCTGATTAGAATAATGGATTTTAAACATGTTCAAAAGGTATGTATCTGAATATAATTAGGTTTTTATAACATAGGGCTCATTTTATTAATTTCGCATATTTCTAAAGCAATAGAATCATAGTTATCGCATTATCGCTTTTTAAAAGAAAGTAAAAATGTGACAAATATATAATGAACATTAATATACATGCTTTACTAGAAATTCACCCTTTCGTCATTAGCGGTTCTGATGAAAGGAATGGGGAGAAGCAGCAAACGAAATAACGAATAACGGACAAATAACGAAATCTAATCTTTAATGCTGTCTCCCAGTTTCTTTAGCCCACCAGCGGTCGAGCGGTAACCTCGTTGAACACTGGTAGTTCGGTCTGAGGTTCGAATCCCGCGAACGGGCTGGCTGTATGGGTGCTTTCGTGGTTTTCCCCATGTGTAAAGTGTATACCAGCCATTTCCCTTAGAAAGTCCTCCACGAAGGCATCCCCCCTTTAGGCAGATAGCCTTAGTGTGCTTTGCCATAATTAAATACACCAACACCAACCCAGTTTCTTTATTTGTATTTGGGAAAGTTTTATTGTCATTATGAAAAGGGAAATTTGATATGGATACCGCATAACATTTTAAATTATGCTTATTTTTGCTGCACTTCAGTTAAACTTATTTCCTCGGATTATTCTAACTTAATTAAGCGATACCCGAAGGCAAGTTACAAATGGCATCAAACACTGCAAATTTTGAAATTAAATTTCCCGGTCAATCTCCGTCTACGGGACTCAAACTTCTTGTATTTTTAATTTTTCATAACGAGTATAAAACTTTGCCAGCTATAAATATAGGAACCAGAAGGCAACTTTAAAAGTTAGATTTCATAATTTGTCCAAAATTAATTCTTTTTAAAATTTGAAATTGACAAAATATGAATATTTTCGTCATTTAAAATACTTCTGTTTTTGTTGCACCGTATTTAAACTTGCTTCTTCGAGTTATTGACATTAAATTACATT